AAGATAAAACCTGTGGGAAGATGAAAGGTTCAGATCAACAACTAATTTTAAAAAAAATCCTCAGAGAGAATTTAATGCTTAACTGCCAACCAGGTGCCACAGATACAGTATTTTCCCCAGTTCTATTTTCTTCTGAAGATAATAAATGTCAATATGCTCATAAATAAAAAAAATACATTAGTGAAAACCATGAGATATGTTTTTGGTTTACCTGAAATCATATCTAAATGCTTTTTGGAATAGTCTTATAAAATCACCTTGTACAGCAGGGTACTGAATGCATAGATAGTGCTATTTGACCAAATACAAGACAATGTGTGCCACTGTCTTCACTGATGTCCAGTCTCAGTGCTAACACAAATAAGGCATGTTTGCCCTTATTCTTCCTCAGCCCTTTCAAAGATACTGACACCTTCAGTAGAATTGCAAATTTGAAATAGCTTGTGTTATTGTTCTTTCATAGGACTCTTCAAAGTAAGAGGTAGAAGGAAAAATATACACTTAGTACTACTGTGACTGTCTTTCCTTAAATTGTCAAAAATATACCACAGCAAGCTTTCCTTTGAAAGTGTTTTAACTAATGTTTTTCCCTCAGCTATGTTCTGAAACTGACAGTGTCCACAGTACCATTTTTTTCATGGCTTTTTCTAGGGAGATTTTTGATCTTTTGAGTATTTTCTTACACAGTCAAATCATCAACATATAAAAATGCAACTAACTTGATATATTACAAATATAATTTTGCATCCAAAGATCTTCAAAAGTGGAGAAGCCCATGAAAAGCAGTGGGTACAGTTTTGGCTTCCACCAATACTGCTATTTTGCTGACCAGCTTGCCTGAACTATAGAATTATAAACAGAAGAAGTCATATTGATGACTCTGAATATGCACTTCCACACTAAATTAAGGTATTCAATAAAATATGCAGTTGTGGTTGCAGTTTTTCAAATGAACACCTTTTGTCCTTGAAAACTAAGATTACTTTGGTAGGGTGGGGAGACCGAGGGGAGCAAAGGATATTGGTGTAGTGGGTATTGCCAGTCAGGGATAAAAACAGGATGCAGGAGAAATTTAACAGCATCACTGAATATTTTTCATGTGTAACATGAGGAAATAAAAAAAAAAACCCAACAAACCAAACAAAACCCTCCCAAAAAATTATAGCAACAAACTTCCCTGTTGTCTTTAAAACAAGTTAGTTTCATAACATCCAAAGCCATACCTCTGTACGGCGTACATGAGAAATGTGTAACAGCACTCTTTTTTTCTGCCAGATGGATAAACACCTCAAACACACCCACAAATACTAATGAAAACCACCTTGGCCTCCTTCAGGAAGTCATTCAACACTTCACAGAAAAAATAGGAAGTTGTTGATAAACTGCTTGCAAGAACTACTTCCTGTAGGAAAAATAATTACAAGACTTGTTTGCTGGACTATCAGTTAACTTCTCCTCTCACTACAAGAGAAGAGGTATTACACAAGCTCTGTGAGAATTAAAGTGATAACTCTAATTTAAAATGATACAAGAGTAATTCTAAAACCAAGCAAAATTTGTTTTTTTCTTTCTGCAAGCTGTTGTCTGCTACTCCCACTGTACATTATCTTTTGCCTTGAGAGCGATCCCCTATCTTTCTGCACAGTTCACTGAAATGTCAAGCAGCAGCTGGCTAACAGGAAGCGGTTAAAAAGCAATGCAATTGACATCACCACACAAACCAAGCTCGGCTTTTTTACTGTATGTTTAAGAATGGGCTAAAGCTACCGCACACCAGTGAGAGATGACTCAGATGTGACCACTTAGTAACCAGGCAAGTCTTAACTTATGAGCTCCACTGAAGGAGCAGTATCAATAAAAAATAGTTTTACCAGCTGTACAGTAAGCAGGCCTTAACCACTGCTCAAAATCATCGCTAAGGGAAAATTAAACTCAGCAGTACTACTCATAACAGTGAGATGAATGCTAATGAGTGGAATTCTGGCAAATCATATGTTGGGCATTCATACATAAGGGGGTCTATTTACCCAGATGACAGACTAATTTACAAGAATAGCTCTGGTTCAAAACCTATAGTACTGCTCTCACCTTCTTTTAATATGTATGGATACATGGGGTGTGTATATAAAATACCTGGCCAAACAACTCTGCACATCTCTCTCTATATACATACACACAGAGATGATTAAGTATTTTCTCTCCCATATACACTATTTTCATTTCTTTGCACAAATTACTATGTTCACAGTGCTTGACCCACTCATTAGTGGAAGTGACTGTAATTCCAGAGTGTATCAAGTATGGTGCTCAATTTTGTATTATTCTCTTTGCACTGTAGAGTATTATGATAACTATAACCATAAGGCTCACTGACATCTGGAAAAAATCTAGCATTGTTACCTATTCTGCAAAGATCTTTCTAGAGTCTGATTACCAGACCATTCACGGAGTGGCTACAGAACAGAGCAACTGGAAACAAAGAGTGAAGCAGCCAATCAAGAAAAAAAGCTGAACACTTGGAAGAGACACTAAAAATCTGCATATGGTGGAAGGAACCACATTAAAGGTATTTAGAATCTGAAATCTTAGTACTCACACTTCAAGCAAATGCTTAAGGTATAACCAGGCAAAATATGAGTTGCAGCAGACTTGCATCTGTGAGATAGAACTTACCACTCATCACTGAAAAAAAACCCTTAGTATACAAACTTGCTACTCAAAACTAGTCTTAAATTTCTTTGGGTTTCCTACACATACAGAGTATACATTGTGCTAGTACTTTAATGCTTTTTACAAATCTTAATAAACTCCATTGAAGTTGGTGGATCTCACCTGTAGATTCTATTAGGCAACCTTTTACAAAGAAATGTTTTTCAAGTGTGAACAGAGCTGTCCCCATTAGACTCTTCCATACCACTGCATCACCCAAGAAAAGCCAAAAGGAAACAGCCCATTACGCTGTTTAAAAATCTCCCAAGGTCAGCATGCGACCCAGCAGGGAGAGGTTCAAAAAGTACAGCCTTTATTTTTTTTCCTAACAACCTGATTTGTTTCCACTCCTTTCCCCTTCAAGACACATCCTTCACAGCTAGCAGCTCTTTCAATCATTTACTTTGGATGTCTACTTGAGAACAAATGATCTTGCTCATGCAGATGAGTTTGCCAGACTTGTGTGTACTTTCCAGTCTCAGGCTCTTTATTGTTCTTGCTGAAACCTGACCCTTTGAAATGGATACCAGGACAGCAAGAAAGGATAAAAAAACTCACAGAAGAAAAAGGAAAGATTTTTGTGGTAATAATCAAACTGCAGAAAAAGCTTTCCAAGAATAAATCTTTCACTCCGATTTCACCTGAATGAGCACAATTAAAAAAATTCATTAGAAAAGCAGGAAGACATTTTTCATCTCTTAAACTGTTTCATCTTCTGTATTAATCGACAGTGCTATCAAGAACAAACACTTGTGGCAGTAAAACTTTTAAATCGAATATCTATTTTTCATGCTTCATAAGCTGCTTTTTAAGAACTCTCACTAACACAGTCAAAACAAGTTTGCTTTTCATTTCAAAACTCATTATGTTCTTTCCTCAAGGTTCAATGAGCTACAGCTCTCAAATGACATAAACTTACACAGTTCAAAAAAAACTTCTACTTGTGCCTGCTGAAGAGCTCATATTCTAGAGCACACTGATCTGTTAAACTTCACCAAAGAAAATATCACATCTTTAAGATCTATAGCTAATGCTTATTTTCACATTCATTCAACAATGTTCTCAAAAGGGACCTTCAGGCTCAAATAATTTCAGACAACTACTGCAACCTCTTTTCAGTTGAAAAAAAAAAAAAGCTAATTTCTCTGTAATAAAAGGGAATACCACAGCTACAGGAACAAGAAACGTTTTTAAGAAGTTCTGCAAGTTCAACTTTCATTGCAGACAAAATTTGTTTTAGTTTTTGAAGCTACAAGCTCAACTACTTCAATCAGATGCACCTATTAATCACAATGTTTGAGTGACAAAGGTAGGAATAAATATGTTTTTCTTGGTTGAAACAAGTTTTACATAAGTAACACAGTGTTACCTCTCCCCACCCTGCAAATGACACAATGGGTTACTTAGAGACTTGTTGCTACATAAAAAGTTCAAATTATAGTCAAAATATTTGAGGGCAGGTTATGGTCTTGGTGGGCACACTTTCAGAAAGAAGGACAAGTCCTTGCTGTTTTAGAAAACTTCACAGAATAAAAGAAAATGTTTCCTGATGGATTAGGTGCCAAATGGATGGCAAGTGTAACTTTTCTTAAGTTATAGAAAAGGTGATACTAATTTCACTGTGTGAAAAAGTTACAGTTCTAGGAACATGAAACAATGTTAGAAATTCTCAAGTTTCCTTTTCACTGTCAGGAACATAGATGAGTTAGGTTACAAACACAAATACTGCAATCAAACACATGTTAATTACCTCAGGAAGAAAGAGTAGGCAAAAACCATTTTGGTTGTGTATTTAAACCCTTGTCCTTAATCAGAACATAAGAAGCCCTGACATACTGTCACTACAATAGTCTCTAAAGTTAACTCTGTATTTTTACATCTGTATTATTAAAATGAGGTAAAACATATCTTGACCTCCATGGCAACTCTGACAATATTCTCCAAATCCAAAAGTCTCATTGTTCCAGAACGACTATGCTCATTTCACTCATTTTTCAATACACAATATAATGGAAAATATTCTCTGGCTAAGATTAAGATAGGACAAATATTCAGTCATATTCACTGCCACACACAGTTTTCAGAAACAGCAGAGTTGATATGGGAGAAATACTGAAGTGGTAGGGTCCCCTGCTTAAAATCAGGACCAGGTTTTTGAAAAGACATATTTTCAGCAAAACGAAATTTACCGAAATTCTAAGACTGTAAAAACAAAGTATGTATCCCAAAAAAAAAAAAAAAAAAAAAAAAAAAGCCAGAGATACAGCTAATTGAAAAGAAATTTTACTTACTTAAGAAAGTATCTCTGTCCAGATGGTGTCTTAGCCATCTCCCAACCTGGTGGCAAAGGTACATCATCAGGGATCTCAAAAGAAGACTGGCGGAGGTGTTGAGAAGATGGAGCTCCAGGTCCAGTCACTACTCCAGAGGGTGTAAGTGTCCCTGGAGAAACAGCTCCCAGCTGCAGTGATGCTGGAGAGGAATGAGCTCGGACATGCTGTGGGGTCAGGGCTCCTGCTGTCCCGGCATCAGTGCTGGCCTGCCAGGAGTGAAATTATTTTATTAAAATTCCTATATTTCAGGAGAAATGTAGTTGTCAGAAGACATTTCACTTTAAATTAATGTTTCAGGAGAAATTCATAGCTCAGTTGTTCTAAAGTTCTGCTTATTTTCCAGTTGTAACTGTTCAAGCAGGCCTCCACGTAGTCTGGTTAACTAGCATCACAAAAGCCCTTGTGCAAGTCAAGAAACATTAACCTGTATATGTTGAGAGCCCTTAGTTTTATCTTGAAAACTAAAGTTCTCAAACTGAAAACTAAAACTAAAAACTCTCCTCAGCACAGGGTTAAGAACAAACCTGCCAGCAGTCAGCAGATCTCATCCAGTGCATTGAGTGGTTTGTTACTGGACTGCACCCACTCACTACCATCACACCCACTTTCTGCTGGAGGAGTCAAGTTCCCACTCTCCTTTTCAATTGGGGGTGTGGGGATTCAAGTGCACGCACACACCATCCCTACCCCCCACTCGGGGTTTAAAAGATCACACAAAGAGAAAAGCAATAGTGAAATGCCAGCTGGCAGCAGTGAGTTCCAATAAAGGAAGACTCACGAATTCAACCATTAAAAAAAAACCTATACAAGAAGACTGAACATAACATTTCCTAATAACTCAAACTTTTAGGGGTATAAAGAGTCTGTCCACGCTTTTATCCAAAGCAAAGCTTCAGCAAACTGTTGACCCAGTCAATCAGGAATGACTCACAAACCCATTCATTGGAGTCACCACTCATAAGCACACAGAACGTCTTTGCCAGTAGTAAATACGTGTCCAACATGGAACAGAAAAGGCAGCTCTGAAAACTTGATTAAAGGAAAAATGGCTTTGAGAAATGTATTTACCAATTAACTGGTTTTATAGATAGAGCAGGACAACACTGACACCTATAATGAGATGCACGTATCAGTCCCTGTCACACCTCTCTACACAAGGTATTGCACCATATGAGGCCCCACTTACTCTTACAGTTCTGCTTCACTCCATCTGTATGCAAGCACACATGAAGTTCCATGCATTCAACTGGAAACCAACCAGTTTGCACTTACATTCAGACAAAATAAGCAAGTAGTAAATCAAGTGGATTTGCAATATTTTAATTCCTGACAATAACAGAATTAAAGAAATTAGAGATCTTTTCTTTAAGCAGAATGTTTATGTGGCACAACTAAACAAAAAGGAAAACCAAAAACAGTCCACAGTGAAGCAAATGATTCTCTCTTGCTTTAGCTGGATTTCAAGTTTATGTTTTAAGAACCACTGAGTGGTACAGGGAACAGTGATCCAACTAAATATGCTTTACAGACGAAGATTAACATTCACAATTGTGAATTGTTTACATTGTTAGACTAAGCCTAAAAGTACAACCAAAAGTTGTATGATCATCACACACTTTAGGTGCATTCAAACATGAGAGCTATTTAACTGCAGTTACTGTATTTAACAAGACACAGCACCAAGTATTGGATGAACGGTCTACCCTTTCAGATTTCTACACGATGAAACCGTGATGAAATTTGCACAAGTTGGGAGAGCACTATACACTAAACCCCTTATTCCTTGCTGGATTTCAGTATGTTATTAAAGGTCTGCAACTTAGAAGCTAGCAAAACTACAGAAGCAGATCAGCTCCACCTCTTCCAATCTTCTTTTCAGTCTTCCTATATGAAGGCCAGACTGCTTTTTTGAGTATTTGGAAAATGAATTAACTCCTAGGCTGGGAGAGTACTTGCCAAGGTTCAGCCTGGAACGAACTTCTGAAGTCAAGTTATAAATCGTTCAAAACAGAAGTTTAATAATGGAAATGTTGACAGACCCTTAACAACACGGGTACCAGGCACCAGTACACGGCGAGTTTCACTCTTACTGGCTACACAGAAAAAGTAACAATAGCCAATAATAAAACCTATTTTATAGCTTAGCAACGAAGTTTATTACTTAATAGCACTCGACTTGGTGGCAGGCACAGTCTCCTTCGAAAAAGTTAGTAACAGCATTAGCTTTCGCTCGTATTCACACCAGCACTTAGATTTTGGTACAAAAGTCCCTCTGCTTAAACACCAAATGCTCCGGGAGGCCGAGCGACGACCCTGCCCCGCATCCCCCACCCCGCTCCTCCCCAGCCCTGCCCCCGCATAGCCCCTTCCCCCCGGCCCTCCCCCCCCGCATGCCCCCTCCCCCCCGCCCCTGCCCCGCCCCTTCCCAGCCCTGCCCCGCATCCCTCCCCCGCTCCCTACGCGGCCCTGCCCCGCATCCCTCCCTCCCCCGGGCCGGCACGGCCGAGGCCTCACGGCTCCGAGCCCCGGTCCCAGGCTGCCGCCGCTGCGCCCGGCGGACCCTGGACGCCGTCAGACCTGGCGTCTGGCTCGGGAATTAACTTCGGATGTGCCTGTGTGTGTATGTGGGGGGTTAATCCTACTCAGCCCAGCGCCGTGCTGAAATGGTGGAAAAGTCACATCCATATTTACTGTCTGACGGGGCGAGGGGGTGTAGGTTTGGCAGCACTTCATCGACCCCTTCCACAGAGGGCAAGGAATTCGACCGCAAAGCGAAATTCCAAGCGAAGCGTTTTCACCCAAGTTTTAGGGGCTCACCCCCACAGTCGCCCTCCCGGTGAGGCCGAGATAGCCAAAGAGCGGATGTGGAGTTCGAGGCCGCGCTGGAGACCGGGACGGAGCCAGCGCTCTCCCGCCCTCCCGCTGCCGTCCCGGCCCGGCCCCGACCCCGCCGGCGTCCCGGGGCGCGGGAGGCGGCCCTGCCCCGGGGGAAGAACAAATAAAGGGATGTGGGGGGGCGGCAGAGAGCGCCCCGATAGCCCCGGCCGGGCGCCCCCCGCCCTGCTCGGCCCCGTGGATTCCCGCCCCGGCCCCCTCCCCCACACGCCTCCCCCGGGAGGAGCTCGGCGACGGGGAGGGGGAACACGGCCCAGCCGGGCCGCCCCCCGCCCGCCCGCGGCGTGGGCCCCTTCCTTCCCTCCCCCTCACCTGGCGGGAGTGGGCCTTGGGCTCGGGCGGCTTGAAGAAGGAGTCGGGCAGTTTCCGCAGTCGCATGGGCAGCGTGTGTGGCACGTTGGCGCCCTTGGGGTTCATCACGGCGTTAAACAGCGCCTCCAAGTCGGTCTCCGAGTCGCCCCGCACATGGACGATCTGGTGCCCCGCCGGGGGGGGCCCCGCACCCGGAGGCTGCGCCGCGCCGGCCGCGGCCCCCGACACCGCGCCCGGGGGCTGCGGCGGCGGCTGCTGCTGCGAGGCCGGGGGCTGCGCTGCCTGCGGCGGCTGCTGCGTTTGAGGCTGCCCAGGATCCATGGCTCCGTCGGGACCCCGCGGCGCTTCCCTGGCGGGGCTCGGCGGCTCAGAGCCCGGATTCCCAGTCCCGCATGCCCCGCACCCCGGGCCGCGGGCTCGTCCTGCTGTCGCCGGTGCTTCTCACCCCTCGGTTGGGAAGCCGACCCGGCCGCGGCAACTGGCAAAACAACTCCGGCCGTGCGGCGCTTCCCCGAGCCCGGCCCAGCCCGGCCGGCGCCTCTGTCCCGGCGGCGGAAACTAACTCACACAACACACCAAACAAAAGTTCGCAGTTACGCCCGCCCGAATCACTCTCCGCCGCCGGCTCCGCCCCTCCTGAGCCCGCCCGCACCGTATCCGACCGAGACAGCCCGTGCTCGCAGCGCTCCTGCGCGCGCCCGCCCGCACCGCCTCCCGCCCGGGGCATTGGGGGCGCTGCGCGGCTCCCCCGGACCCCGCTCCGCCCGCGGCCCCGGCCCCGGCCCCGGCCCCAGCCCCAGCCCGGCTGGCACCGCGCCTCCCCCGTTTCGCG